TGATCATCTTAATCACAAAACTACAATTAAAGTTCATCTGCTCAAGAATTCGCTCCACTTCGATTAGTGTCATTTTTTTTTTTTTTCTATTCATTTCAATCATCACAAACCCATAAAGAGAAACATAACAAGATCCATTCTATTCTACTCTTTCCAATTCATTTCCATAACTTTCCTCCACTTTCTAAGTAACCAACAACAAAATTTAAAACCAAGCACAAACTGAAACATAAAACTATACCAACCACAAAAAAGAAACCAGCAAAATTCATTCCAAAAAAAATTCATTATCACTAATACGAATTAAAAAGATCCCATTGGTTTCCAAAATCATCAAAACTTCTCTTAACTATGATAATCATCATAAATTCCCCTAAGATCACCCCAAACCTCTTTAAATCTCATCAAATTAACCATAAACCTCTCTCACGAAGGGACCTATTGTCAATTTTCCAAACCATAAGGGTCCATCAAATTGTACCAAACCAAACATAAGCAACTATGAAAGAAACTCAAACAATTCTTCCTAAAACTCTTCTTCGAGTAAAAATTCATTCGCTTCCCAAAAAATAAAAATAAAAATAATCGAAAAGGATTTGTTTTTGAAGAAACCTGTTTTTGCCGAACTTCCGCTTCTGATCTCTCTCTGAGCCTCTATTTCGTTACCGAAGTGACGAATATTAATCGAAGAAGACTGATGAGACGTGACTGATGAGAGACTGATGATGATGCCGATGGCGGGCCGCGATCTGAGACTGAGAGATTTGAGATGAGATGTTCAGATGAGAGTGAAACTGTGAGAGGGAGGCGTGACCGTGATTCGTGATGAGTCTGATGACTGATGAGATGCGTGAGAGGGAGACGTGAGAGGGAGGCGTGACTGCGTGAGTGTGAACTGTGACTCTGTGAGAGGGATTCGTGATGACTGTGACTTTGTGAGAGGGAGGCGTGAGGGGGAGGCGTCAGGCGTGAGAGGGAGGCGTGAAGTCTGTGATAAAAAATTAAAAACTTTTAGGGATTCATTCAGTTCAAAACAGAACAAAAGCCTTGGCTTATACGGGTGCCCGCGGGTGCCCACGGGTTCACCCGTATGACCCGTAACTTATTGGACCGGGTATGGGTACGGGTCACAAAAAAATGGGTTTAATTTATTGAACCCATACCCTATATTTTTTACCCGGGTACGGACCGACCCGCGGGTCCATACCCGTTTTGCCAGGTCTATGTCTTAGGGGTTTTTTTGTAATATTTCAAAATTATAAGGGTTAATTGTAATTTTATAGGAGTGTTTTGGATATATGTCAAAATTTTAGGGATTAATTGATTTTTTGGGGTATTTTTGAAATAAATAAAAATTTTCGAGACTAATTGAACTTTTTTGGGAAATTTTTGTAATATATTAAAATTTAAGGGATTAATATATATTTTTTAAAAATAAAATTATTGCTGACATTGTCGATCTAATCGATTGACTCGTGACCTGGATAATAAAACGGATTGTCCTCCGATCCAGGTTTTAAAACAATAAGTATAAACTCTTAATTAGCTAGGGATCAAGCGAAGGCAGAAGCCAGTAATGAGACAAAGAGTGTAGGAATATCTGATAATTTGGGGTTATAAATACTAGATAAGTTGAATAGACAAATGCTGGTGTGACTGGGCATATACAGTATAGTTATATTCGGGACCAAATTCTCGTCAAGTGAATTGCATTAGAATCAAAGCATGAGCAAAAATTATTCGAGTCTTATCACATCACAGTGTGATGCCGACTTATACTGTTTTAGGTCATCATATGTGTTTTCTTTTTCAAGATTCTCATGTAGATAAAGTATGTAACATAAATATCATTCAACAAAATCAAATCAGGAAAAAAAAAAAGAAAAAAAAAAAAGGATATTTGTCTTATAGTGTTTGCCAACACATCTCTGTCCCACCACTAGTTGATAATGCATTAAATGGACTTAATACAGATTTATCTCTTATTTTTTCTTAATTCTTTGGTTAGTTGCTTATCTACTCCTGCTATTCATTTGAAAAAATTATCAATTTGCATAATAGAATCTTTTCATCCACAACTTGCTTGAGTTTTAGGCAAATATAATCAGCAGGTATTTCAAACAAAAAATCACCATAACAAAGATCTTAATTTATGTCTTGAAGTATCAAAATGTTTATTTGCCTAGACCCTAAGGTCTGAACTGACTAAAGCTTTATTTTTCCTTGTTCATCGCAAGTTACAGTTACAGTTGATCCCAAGAATTAGTAATATACATTTATGTGCCTGTTTGTGTTTGGTGGATATAGTACTATTGATAGTCAACACTTTTGTTATAGTTTTCATCTAATTAGTTTTGTCAACTTAAAGAAGCTTAAATCACTCGCAACATGCATCACATGGCTATAAAAACAAGTTATTCCGAATGGATTTTCACTTGAAGATAGTAATTCCTGATAGGTTTCTAATATTGGTTGGAAGTGCAAGAACCACCAGGAGCAGTACTCGCAGACCACTTCTGATGTCAAGTGACGGCCAACTTATTATTTCAATTTCATCTTTCCGAATCTGCTGGTGGGTGGTGATACCTTACCAGTTTTAAGATAGGTAAAATAATAGAGATATCCCTGGAATGTGAAAAAAGTAAGATAAGTAGACATATTAAGTGGAAAGTACTGTTAGGTTTTGAAATTTTAATGAAGCCATTGGTTTCCTTAGCATCAATCATCAACCACCTCCACCATATCTTTCCCAATAAGGATGGCACATGGGAAGTCATTGATTGAGCTATCCTACTTGGAATCTGCAATCTTTCAATTAAAGAGAGAGAAAAATAAACAGCAGTATCTGCAATCTCTGGAAATATGGAGATGTAGTTGGAGTTGGAGGTGGAGTAATAAGACAAACAGGTAAGTGAATAAACAAAACGAAAAATTAAGTACGGAAAGAACTACCTGAAATTAAGGATAAAATTTAACAGGGACTGGCTGCCCATTAGCTGACACGGCTCTCTCCATTTTGAGGCAACACCCCACAGCTAGAGTCTTCCATTGTTAGCCACTTAGCCCTTGCTTATTTTATATAAAGAATTGCTTGAACCTGTAAATGCGCGCTTTAAAGCGTCTTATGCTCCCGATTCCCGAATGGCACACGGAGATTGGTCCCATATCCCCAATTACGAAGAGTCACGTAGATATGTGTGATCTTTGCCCTTACCAAGAGACCATAAAGGTGACTGATTTGAGTTTTCTCCTTGCGAATTCTCCTAACTCTATTATCATCACTCGTCAGGTAATCAAAATCATCAAACCCTTTGTACCGTAAGTTCCCATTTATATTACTTATAAATGAAAATTTAAAGAACCCAGATTTAATTATTAAAATAACTGTAAAGAAATGGCTTTTTAAGTTTAAAACTTGATTAGGGAAACTCCTGTGAAATTAAAGCTGGGCCGTGGCTTTCATTTTAATACCCTTTTTGAAATAATTACTGCATTGATTAGTGTTAAAGTTTGAATCCTTTTGGTAGAAGAGGAAGACATGATAAAGAAAAAGAGCAAAAAATTGTTACGGGCACCGACGCTTTGTACCAAATTTTTATATCGAACGACGTATCCACTGAATTAAACAAGCCACATATCACGTTAATAAATATTCTGCGAATGAACGACCATCCACCAAATATGGACGATCGTCCACCTAGAATAGATGCATGTTCATAGTTTAAACTAAAAAATTTTGGCCTAAATTGTTTATCTTTTAAGAGAACGGGCGTCCATCTTTTAATATTAACAAATTTTAGTTTAATAAAAAAAATTCTTTTAAATTTTCAATTAGAATGTTTAAAAATTTAGGCACCCCAAAACAAGTTTCATTTATCTCTTACTTCGCATTTTGTTTATAAATGAAATAAAAAATTTTGAGAATGGACGCGGCCATCCAAATGAGTGGATTGGCGTCCATTCTCAATTTTTTTTTTTTTAAATTTCTAAATTTTTTTTAGATGAAACGCTCAGACAATGTCCAATTGCGCGTTCATACTTTTACTTAAAATCAATTTTTTTTCTTTTATTTCATCTAAAAATTTTATACTTTAAAAATGAATATTTCATCTTAAATTAAACAATGGGACGCTTGTCCATTGAATGTAAAATTTTTTGGATGGTGTCCACGTCCATAGTAAATAGATACCCGTCCATATAAGATGGACGAGCGTCCATTATTTTTCTTTTAAAATTTTTTAGACGGGCATCTATCTAAATGGACACCCGCCCATATAATATGAACGGGAGTCCATTAAATATGGGCGAGTATCCATAAATGTTGGACGGCCGTTCATTCACGAAAGACTCCAGCGTGTCGCGTCTGACTAGTTGCCATGTCCTTTCATACAAAAATTCGATGTAAAATTTTAGTGATTGTAGCATTACTCAAAAGAGCGATAAAGAAGGCATGGCCAAAGAATTTTAGTTTTAGATAAAACTGAATTACAGTTATTTTTAAATTATAAATTTGAATTTCTCTTAACTGTTAAGTGTATTTATTTAGTTTTATCCTTTTAAAACTATAAAAAGGGGAATATATTATGTATCGATCTAAGAAAATGAATAGATAATGTTTCTCTCCTCTTCCCCGGTTACAAAAATTAGCAACATGGACGGAGCGATTAAGTGAGGAATAAGCCTTAGATTTGATTTAGCAAATAGCAACTAACAAACCAGCTTATATAATAAGAAGTCAACAGGCAAATTATAGAAGTTAACATTTAACCAAACCAGTTTATAAAAGTTAACATTTAACCAAACCAGAATATATAATAATATAAATATACATATTTTCTGTTTCAAAGGTTGATGGGAGCTCTAACCCTTCATCCTTAACGATTGAATAAAGATACTCTAATAAACATTTTTTATAAACGCGATATAACAATTTGTAATTAGATTCCCCAAAGATTAAAAAGGGTTAACACATGGGAAGGATAAAACAGGCAACCCCATATCAGAGTGTCCCTCTCCATACTTGGATATTAAATTAAGAACATGAAAATTGGAGATCTTCTGATCTCACAGTTATCATTTTCATTACTTTATTCTCGGAATTTTCTATATTTTAAACAAGTAACATGATTCTCTTATAATCCCTTCTCTTCCTTTTCTTCTAAGTGTCAGCCCGTCTCCACCTACTTTCTTTCTCTCTCTCTAATTATATTTTCTTAAACTCTTCTTTTCTTTCTGTAGCAATTAAGTTTTATAGAAGAAAAATAACAAATTAAGCATTTACTCTCTCTGTACCAATTAAATTGGATTGAAGAGAAAAAAGAAAGGAATAAGATAAGCAGATGAAGATCCAGTGCGACGTGTGTAACAAAGACGAGGCTTCGGTGTTCTGCACCGCCGATGAGGCAGCTCTTTGTGACAAGTGCGACCACCGTGTCCACCATGCCAACAAACTTGCCTCTAAGCACCAACGCTTTTCGCTTCTCCATCCTTCCTCTAAAGAGTTCCCTCTCTGTGACGTCTGTCAGGTATTCGTTTTCACTTCCTTGATTACCAGTTATTGTTAATTTATTTCTGATAATTTTGATGGTTTGTTTTTGTTGTAGGAGAAGAGAGCCTTCGTGTTTTGTCAACAAGAACGAGCTATTCTGTGCAGAGATTGTGATGTTCCGATTCATACAGCCAACGAGTACAGACAGAAGCATAATAGGTTTCTTCTCACAGGGGTCAAACTCTCTGCTGCTACTACTCTTTATACATCCTCTGGAAACAACGGTTGTGATTCTGTTCCTGATGCTAAGTCTCAGAAGTCTTCTATCAAGAAACATGTCTCTGTTACTCCACCGAGTTCAAATCCATCTTCTAATTCAAAGATTTCAAATACAACAACAACAACTACTATGATGAGTAATAGTGGGAATAATTTGATAGTTAGTGAAGGTGGTGGTTCAACAAGTAGCATATCAGAATACTTGGAGATGCTCCCTGGCTGGCATGTTGAAGACTTTCTTGATTCTTCTTTAGACAACTTTGGTTTCTGTAAGGTTTGCATTATCAAATCCCATATTCTGGGTTCAAAAAACTTTCAGTTCTGATGTTTTGCTTTGATATCTTTTTTCGTGTTGATTTGTTGCAGAGTAATGATGGTATGTTGCTCTTTGCGGACGCTGATTTTGGATGCAATTTGAGTTCTTTGTCATCTGGAAGTAATGGAATTTGGGTCCCTCAAACCCCAGCACCTCTCCATCCTTCTCTCTTTCCTTCACAAATTGGAGGACAAATTAGTTTCAAGGAGACAAAGGAGGTTACCACCATGAAAACCAACAACAGTAGGGGGACAGACGATGGTTTCACAGTTCCACAGATCAGTCCTCCCTCGGCTACCTCAAAGAGATCTAGACCCAATTTCTGGTAGGATTAAATCGTCAAGATCTCAAATCAATCATGAACAAAGCTCATGTTCCTATGTTTTTTTGATATGGGTTCCAATTTCTCTTTGTTTTTTTTTCTTTGATTGTCATTTCATTTACTTTTAGTCTGGTTTAGTTTGTTGCTGTTGTTTTGGCCAGTACTCTCTCTCTCTCCAGGTGGTCCAAATCCAACTGGGTTTTGTTTCCATCATTTTGTTTCATCTTTTTCTTGTACTTGCAACAAGCAAACGTCTTTGTACATATTAAGGAGATCTGGAAAAACCCTTTCGATATCCGTTTCTAACCACATATAGCACTTTCAATCGAATTTGGCATGAAAATCATATACACGTTGCTTCAAAATTCATCATGGAAATTTTGATGGAACAGCTAATTATTAAGAACACTTTTTGGCTAACGCCAGAGAACTTTTGAGCAATCAACTGTTAAAGCACAAGTATTTTTCGCTTTTGTCGGGGAGAGGTATCGTATTATTGAGATTGGAAGAAGACGGTAATGATGATTATCATGAAGATGGTCATCGGATAAGGAACAAGGAGAGATGCCAAAAGGGGTAGCCTGGTTTTGTCATAATGCATAATGTCCTTCGTGGGGACAAGAGTACTAGAACCCATCAATTTCATTTCACTAATAGAAAGTTGGTTTGGTTTGTTGAGAACTTGTTTCACTGTTGTCTGTAATGCATAATGTCCTTCGTGGGGACGAGAGTAATAGAACCATCAATTTCATTTCATTAATAGAAAGTTGGTTCGGTTTGTTGAGTAATTGTTTCACTGTTTCCTGCTGCCAGTACTTAGCAGGGTGAATTTTTTGCTATCTGAATATCAATGTTGTTACAAGTCTCTCGATCTCCAGCAAGGGTTCGACTGGCAGTCCCTACCACTTTCAGGTTTTTGGTAAGTAGTAGATCTTTAAGTTTTAACCACTTAATTTTTTGCTTTATTATAGTTAAGATGGGTGGCAATTCGAATGGATGGATGCAGTCAATTTCTTACCAATGCATTGCCAAAATAGTTTGTTTGTTTCACTATCCTATTCTAAAAACAAAAAAATGTATTGTTTTAATATTCTTAAAATCTAATTCTATTTTATATAATTCAAAATATTAATTATTATTTTTTCGTAAAAATAACTTAATTTTATTTTTTATTTTTTTTCAAAATACTATTTAAAAAACATAAAATATTGAATTTAACCGACCATTTATTGCAATGAAAGTAACACAAGTATGGATCCCATATTTGCAAATGATGCCTGGATTTCTCACTCGCTCTCACACACCCTATATTAAATGAATGCTATAACTATAAGACGGCTATTTGGATTTCTCCGAGTACAAAATGGGTAAATTTTTGTTACTTTCACATCACTGTGCTCTAATTGTCGTCATGGTGTACGTTGTTTGGAAATAAATAGTCGCCAATGTGGAAAACCTAGTGATAGTCAATTGGCAATTTTAGTATCTTGTTATGTCTAGACTTGTATGTTATACTCCAAACTACGAGGGTAAAGTTTGGTTCTGTGGATTTCTCCAGATAAAATAAGCATTATTTAAGGATGAGCTGGACATTTACACAAACACAAAATACAATTTAAATCCAGTATGCAACATCACCTCGGAACTGTTTTTACATGTGGGGGAGAGGGACTTACATGTCATGAAGAGTACTGTATTGGAAATTGGGTTATGGATCCAACATCATGCACTGCCTCTGATTGTTGTAAACTAAATTGTGCGATGATAGACTCTAGAACGGTGATCTAGATTCTGGACGTCCCAGTCACACCTGTCTGTTTCTTCTTCATGGTGAAACCGAAGTTATACGCAGCTCAAACCTTAAAAAAATTGATGTTACTTCCTTGGTTAAAAAGTTTGAAATATGGTGGGTAGCTAGCTCCCACAAGTCAATTGATTCGCATTTTGTGGGCTCTATTAATTCATATTTCTTCTTCATTTCACTGTCAACACTCATGTATATTTTCCGTGTGAATCATCAACAAAAACTGAATTCTCTAGAACGGTCATTGTATTATAAGATTTTGACTTGAGCTTAGAAAAGGGGAGTTTGTGGTCTTATTAAGTTAGCCCCATTGACATTTTGGAACAACCCTTCTTTGATTTTTTGTTGTCAGCAATTAATTAATTGCTTTGGGACCCAATGACAATGTTAACTCCAGCACCCACCTCTCACACAAGTAAATCAAATCCAATTACGTGATTATGTAGATAATGGAGTGCAAAAATTCTGGGCGGAAACAAATCCTGGCTGTACTGAACTTGGTAAAATTATTAATGACCAAGATAGTGAGAATGGGTACCAACTCATGCTGCCTATTGCAGTAATATGGATTGCCTCACAACTCGAGTAATATCAACTCAAAACAACAATATACGAACACTAAAAACCTATCAAACTGTTATTACCACCACATCTCTGAAATCAGGAGTCAAATAAACAAACTAATACAACAAATAGGAAACCAGAAACTTCCCCACATTTCTTTTTTGTAATCTTTGATGAAGAATCTATAACAAAAGGTTATTAAATTAGAGGAATTAACAAGCAGCAAATCAGGATCAGGGGCGTCGACAATGAGCTTTGCACATGTATTGGCAGTCATAGAAGCAAGGTCCACCACAATGAAGGGGACAATCCAGTCTCATGCCTCTGCACCTGCCTCTATTCATGCACTGGGCAAACTCACCCAGTTTATAATCCTTCCTGTTAAAAGATCTCCCTCTATGAACCCTATTATTAACGCCTCTACTTCCTTCTTTTCCTTTCCCACCACATCCCCATTTATAATAACCACCTCCTCCTCCTCCCCATCCCCATCCACCCCCACCACCTCCTCCTCCTCCACCACCACCGCCACCTCCTCCACCACCACCACCCCACCCCCATCCATAACCCCCACCACCACCGCCGCCGCGGCCACCACCTCGTCCTACACCTCCATAATGCCCATAATGTTTATTCTTGCTGTTGATAACAACCTCGGTGTTAGTTGTCTTGTTTCCAACTTCTACATTGTCATTTCCTCGAGGAAGGTCAACAAGAGTGCCTTCACTACGGGTTCCGTTTACCAAAATTTCTCCAGCTGTCAGCTCAGCAACGGTCATTGCTAGAAACAAAAGAAACCAGAATCTTCTTCTTGCTGTCTTCATCTTGCGATGCTTACTTTTGCAAATGTTGTGAAAATGTTGCTTCACTTATATAGACGAGATGATTAGCTGGATAAATGGTGAGCATTAATTAGCAGCAACTAGTTGGCCCCACATGATCTTAGAAATTTGAACTTAAAACAATCTTGCTGCAGGTTGTTCTCTTCTCAAAAGAGAATAAGAATGAGAATCCTTAGAGAACACTTTTGTCCCCACCTGAAGTTTGTGCAAGCATGCTGAACTTCTTCTCCAAATGTGGGCACCACCGTGCTCTTCACGCACTTGCATGCCACGCTTTCACCCACTCTCGCTAATATTTATCCCTTCAAGTTATCTTTACAACTTGACGATGAGATAATGGGCACCATTGTACCAGAGATTTAGTTAATAAATTACACCATAAGCATGATGAACCAGATTAGTTTGATCAATACTATATAAATGACCATTTGAGAGACTTCCTTGAACGATAAGAGTGTGAATTGTTTTATTAACTAAAATATGTATGTTTTCTTTAACAGAAACGTGATAAATGAACTTAGAGAAACATAGTTTAGATTATGTAACAAAAACAGATGAGCCATTGGCCAACCAACGGAAAATGGTCCATCTTAAAGCCTTGATATTTTCAGCTCCTCTCTAACAAATTAATGGTCCTTCCCTAACGGTCACCATTGTCTGTATATTTGCCTTGATGTAGAAGTTTGAAAGAGAGGGCGTGCGTATTCCAAACAGCAGTGGGTAGAGATCTGGTGGGGGTGTCACCTAAACGTATTCCTTACAAGATACAAATATTAATTCGGTCTGTTTGTGTCATCATGTTTCCAACTGTATAGGACCAAATAAATTATATATGAACTGAAGCCAAAAGGATTCAAGCTCAAGTTTGCTACAAGCTCCTTGTACACGGCAAGGACTGAAGCTTTCTCCACTGAGGTCGAATCCAATATTTACTGTGACTTATGACTTATATTTAGTCATGTAGACAATAGAGTGGAAAATTGGTACACTGACAATGTAAATGATTGAGAATGAAGAGGAGATTGACCAGTATGTATAATGAATAAAGATCCTTTTCCTTTCAAGTGCTAAGCTGTTTGAAAGGCGAATCAATATGAATAATTCACATGAGACGGAATAATGTCAATCTGCTATCCAGGCGTTTAAGCAAAGCCAAATCGGGAGGGGACTCCTTAATTCTTTCGCATGTGACTTTGCACCACAGATATGTAGCAGCGGTTTGATACAACCAAAAAAGATGCAATAATGTTCAGCTCAAACTTAATAGGAAGCACTGAGAGTAAAAGTTTGGATACCGTCTCTCTCTCTATTCTCTAAACAAATAAAATGTCCCATTCGATGTTAAAAGCATGCTAGGCCAGCATGTGACTTACCAGACAAGGCCATAACTAAATGTAAGTTAAAATGTATGAATATCACACATGGGTTTCCACTTTCCAAGCATTAATCTTCCGAGAGCACAATATTTTATTCAACTCAATTACTTTATAGAGACAAGTAGACAACTAATAACATAAGGTGATGTAAAATAGATATTTCACTAAATTGGTGAGACCACACCGGTTACGGAACTATTTTGTTCCTGGGATTTGGCACGTGTGGTTCTAAAAACTGGGTAATAATTTTCCAGATCAAGCTGTTCCAGAATTTTTCTTGTCATCCATAGATAGGAAGAATGACCTTCGATGAGATCAGTAACATCAACCTGCAAATCCAACACAAATCCATTATCAATGCAATACGACTGCAAAAGAAATCTGAAGGGTGAGAATCTGTGCTTACATTCTCAATCCCCGAAATATCAACAGGTTGAATTCCAGCTAATCCTTTAGAAAGTAAACTGCACAGGGTAAACAATTTGGCCATATAGAAGTTAATTAACTAATAGATTGAATATGTGATTTAAATTAAAAGGTGCAATACGATTGTTTGCGAAAGAAGAAAGTTTTGTTCTAATTGTACCTCACAAACTCCATCAAAAATAAGAAGCAAAAGTGTTTGTGTTCCTAATCATGTGTTTCAATCCTTCAGTAAACACTTACTCAAGACAACTTACATAGAGAGTATACAGTTATCACTGAAGGATGCATAACCATTACTATGCCTAGCACAATTAAATCATGGGAAAGCACAATGTTGTGATCTTGCTCCATAATTTGATGTACAAGATTTACCTAAGTAACATAGAATTGTCTATAAAGCACCTACCTTGCACGAAAAACAATTCCCAATGTCCAGTCAGTAGTCGAATAAGCATTGACAAATCTCCCGGCCACCATCTGCAAACCAATAGCAGGATTTAGTTACCTCTAAAAGGACAATAGTTATTTAGAAAATTTTAGCAGAAAATAATTCGGGGTACACCTTTCTTGCATCCTCCCAGTTTTCATCTTCAATTGATATTGGTGCTCCAAGGAAAACAACCCTTTCCACTAGTCCAGCTGCAAAATACAGCAGCAAATAGTAGCAGCAGATGATCAACCCAACAATCAAGAAAAAAATAACATGATATATCATACCATTTTCTCCTGTTTCAGCCAGACATTGGAGACATTTGAAAATTACACGAGCCCCCAATGAGAAACCTATGAGTGTCACAGGTCTGCAACAATATAGAGGAATTACGGTATAATGTTACAAAGCCACAAATAAAACACTTTTGATCTTTTAATGATAGTACAGGATCAATCATTAGCACCTGTTTCCTTGCAGTCCCTTCAACAACACTTCAGCAAGCAATTTACCAGCTTTATCAGATCTAATAGTAGAGATGGGAATAGGAAAAGGGGGTGGGGAGCAGGGTGCAGATGCAAAAAGCTGTCAGAGACGTCAATTAAACACTTGTAACACTAACATTATTTGCCATGGAGATAATTCAGTTCAAAAATCTAACTGGGAAAATATGCATGTAGAATGAAATGTATAAACTATCCAATAACATGTACTTAAATTAGCAATTAACATGCCTTATGCAATCTCTACACCTTTAGAAACTCAATATGTAATTTTGACATGACCAGAATAAAAATCCCGAGTAGTTTGAAATTGAGGCTTAGTAAGTATCACAGTAAAAACAGGAGTTAATTGCTGGACACTTTGATGATTACTGGAATGAAAATCTCAACTAATTTTGATTATTGCATATATGTGTAAAATGATACTGGGAAGCAAAATATAATAACTTTCACATTAAGCACGCAATTGGGTTTCCCCTGCCAATTAAGTGAAAACTAACCTGTCAATAGCAACTGCCCATTTGCTGTCTATAAGATCTGATGCTGTAACCAGTGTTGCCGGCATAGCAAATGCTGCTACAAGTGTGTTTAATACAGTATGCATGGCACCTTGTTTCATCATTTCCGCAGCAATTCCTTCAGCAAGCACCTTGATTGTTGATGACAAAAAATTCTAAATGTAGCAATTCTAAATACAATTTTAAGGTTAAAAAGTGTACTTGAAGTTAGCCAGTCCTGTATTCCAGTGCTCAGTTCAATCAAATTTTTAGACTCCCACCATAGGGCATACCTAGATATTTATTAAACTAAAATCAGAAACTATTATAAAGACACAAGGATGCAGCTTCTAGTAAATGGAAGAACTCCGACAGAACAATCTTTCACTAGAACTGTTTATTGAAAACACATACACAGTAGATCGAAACATGTAACCCATAACAATCTAGAGTCCATTAACACCTTAAGCTCAAACAATTTTGTGCCCAGAATGACCAAAGATAATTGCTATAAACATGTGCGACATACCCCCTGCACCCCCTTCCCTCTCTCTTTAACTCCCATCGTGTAACAAGGGTGGATACTACAGAAATGAAATCATGAAACAGGTAGCATATTAAAAATTTGAATCTTTCTTTAGGAAAGACTTCAAATTTTGCAACAACAAGCACTTAATGGAAGTATAATGATGTGCCATTTGTGATGAGAACACTGAAGGAAAAGATAAAATAGAATTGTGATCCATTCTCAAAGGTGGTATATTTAAGTTTCTAACCTCTCCAAGTTATCCTTATGACCTTCCCAAGGCTTGATGAAATCTTCTTCCTCAAAGACAAATCCGGAGATCATAATTCCAACTGCCAGCCGCTGGGAAGATTAGATATATCAATAAGAAAAACATATAATACAACTACGAGGGGCTACTATCAATAGAGATCCTGGCGGTATAACATGATACGCAAAAAACCATTAGTAAGTTTTAACACCCCTACGTCCAGGCCTAAATATCAAGAAACAATAATAAATAAATGAACAGTAGTACTCACGCCTTGGTTATGATTCTCTCCCATAGCTCTGAACTCAAATTCCTCAATGCTGCCAACTCTTTTAGCCATTTTACTCCCTGTAAGGCCAGCTCCAGCCGCTGAGATGTACAAAAAGTAATTAAATAAGTTCCCCTTTATTCTTCTCTCTTTTAAATTTAATATTACAAATATACAAGTATAGATGACTATATGACAAAATTTTATCTCTGTGAAGTAAATTATCTTTGACTATTTTGTCACCTTAAATCAACATATCCTCTAAAGTTCAACTAACCTGACATCCTCAATCCATAGTGAATTTTTATAAGAGCTGACCCCAGTCAGACTGTAAGCATACAGTCACAAGAATCAATATTATCAAACCACAGCCTTTCTTCCTCTGAAACCAAGATACATATAAACAGCTTCCATACAATCAGTATCAGCATTCTAGGAAATTTACATCAGCTAAAAATTTTGAAAGACGGATCACTGATATACTTTTCAGATTTCATAGGATAAAAATATAAAAAAACCTCTTGGGTAACATATTCCTTGAATTTCATTAGATACACATTACTAAAGATCTCCACACATACAGATATATTACATGGTACTAGAAATCACGTTTAAACTGACTGCAGAAATTGCTGGGCAGCACTTAGACACTCCAGTTAGTATTCAGGAAATTGCAAATGTATTGATGATGAAGCCAGAATAGCCAATCCTATAAAATAATACCTCCAAATGAAGCAGCAACAGCAGCTGAACCAGCAGCTGATCCTGTAGCACTAGCTGCTGCAGCAAATCCACTTGCTCCAATTGCAGGGACAAGACCGCCCAAAGTAGGAGCCAAAGAACCCAACCCATGTGCTATTGCAGGGGCAGCTAGGCCTGTTAAGAATCATAAACAACTTTATAACACCCTTGTTACCACCACAAGTTTCTATTGAAGAAAACATCTGGTATGCTGAATTAAGAAGAATATATACCGCCAGTAATTGCCATCAAGGTTCCTCCTGTTAGAGCAGCTGCACCAATAATACCTCCACGCTTCCAGTTGGCCCCAGGGGCTTCTGAAGTACCATTTCCATCCTCATTTCCACCCTGCTCTTGCTCTGTCGCCATTAAGGAGGAGGCGACTATTGTCTCTATAGCTTCCTACAAAACAAAAGTTTCCTGTAATGGATTCTAGTACAATAATAGAAACCAAGGAGCACGTGCCAGAAGTCCTTAAAATAACTGTAATGAATTTACATACATTAATAAATATTTATTTGAATATGTCAATGCCTGTGTGCAAGTATCTCTCTCTGTATGGTATGATAAACTCTTTCATAATAAAGCAAATATCAATTAACTCTAACATACGAAATAAATGTTACATACAAAGAATTGGTGGGTAGACAAACCACTTTAATCCATTTGACATTGAGCCATTTTGATAGTAAACGTAAAGCCACACGATGTCTAGCGTCATAACCCTTTCGTCGAGCACAATTCTTGTCAAAATCAGTATTCTCAACTAAAAAAGCTGAAAGAAGCTCAAAAAGAACTGCCACTTTTGTCTGGTATGTGAGCACCGTTTCCTCCTCCGGTGGTTGCTCCGAAATTTCAATTACAAATCTACTTTGAGCTTTCTCTTCAGTGGACGCCTTGGGAATCGCCCCCTGTATGGTTTCCTTGATATCAGTCGCTGGTTCTGGCTTATTGATGGAATATTTCTCGTGGCATTTGTTTTCATACTCATAATTCCCAGAACCATCCAAAGAGGCAGCAGAGCTTTCCATGCTAAGCACCATGGCATCAACAGTTTTGGTCAAAGCAAGTTCCTTGTTTGTTATTTCTGAAGTTCCACCACTTTCCGCTGAGAGTAAAGTCAAGAACTGTGATACAAATAATATCATGGTCAGTTAATAAAAAAATAATAAACACAAAGCAACCGGTGCAGGTAAAACTTTAAAAATCATCCAAAACAATCAACAAAGATATTTTTACGCATAATCATCAAGTAAACAAATAGTGTCGCACTCTTTCACTTTACAAAATAATCCTAGTCTGATCTTAATATAACTTGAGGCCTTGAAAAGTTAAAAATTTCCAAGGAAAATATTATCTCTTTATCACTCACACTGACAGTCTCAAATAGATTATTTTATTATGAAATAGTAAAAAATACAAATTGAAAGCCATTAAAACTTAATTCTGGTCAACTGATACAAATGTCAGTCGCACAGTCCGGATTTAGCAGTTAATCAGCAATTCGAAAGAATATTACATACCGCTCCAACATGGTGCCTTAACTGTGAAGAGAGCTCAGCTGTTTCCTTAATCCCATGCTGCCTTTGTTCGTCCACCCCTAAAAACCTGTTCATTTTCAAAATCCTTCAAAAGATTATCGCAATTAATCCATTCTTAAATTTGAAAAGCCGTGTGATTTGCATAACGTGATGACAAATAAATAGAAGTCCGAATCAAATCATGAATGGTACGATTGTACTTATCATTTCCTCAAATCACCACCATTAACCATACTCAAACCAGTCTTATTTCACTCTAATCATTGTTTGCTCAATTTAAGCATTTTCACCTCCTAATCGAGGTAAGAAAAGGATATTATTGCTAGAAAATAATACCTAAAAACAGGGGAAAGCAAGCCAGAATTTTCATGGATCCAAAGCTGAGGATGATCCGAAACCGAAACAGTCCAACCGATTTCCACGCCTTCGCCAATAGGCTCATCTATGAGGGGTACAAGAGGATTTGAAGGCCGCTTTTGGTGAATTTGCGTATGATGAAGTGCCAGAGCAAACAGACCAGCCGCTGCGTACTTCTGCGTAGGCGTCTTTGTCGATGTCTCCATGACTCCAAGAACCGATAAGCTAATGCATCTAATTTTTGGAAAAGATATCTTAAAAGTAGGATCTCTGGAGGAGCTTCAGTTCTTGAGTTATATTGTTTGGCTCTCAATATTGACGAATAAATTATAACCGCCTTTACTTTTAAAAAAATGCAACGGTCTGATCGCGGGTCGAGCTCTTTCTCCGCATACACGCGGGAAATGCAGCCGCGTGGATATATGAATCATGAAAAGGGCTCTACCTACGGCCACGTGGCATCATTTCATTTGCTATTATTTCTACCTCACACGAAAAATTTCCCCGGATATTGTCTTTCCTCTATGAATGAATCTCATCTACCTGTTTATTGGGAAAAATCCCAAAATAATATTTCAACTTAATAAAAAGGAAAATTACTTGTATGACCCATCTTACTCACTAATATAATTTAAAAGGAGTTATTTTTTAATTTGAATGATTATTTCTTAATAAAACCTATACAATTAACTACTTAATCAAGGATATGTAGATAGCGTAATACTATAATGCTAATGTGATAATATTATTGATAAAGAAAAATAATAAGTTTACAACTCAATCTCACAACTTCCTCTTACAACCATAACGTATCAACAAATTGATACTATCAAATCAATTCTCACTACATCCAAGATCAAAAGACACTATTAAAAACAAACTATCGTTTCTTTAACAAGAATGATTATTTTTTATGTAGAAACAACCAAAGGAACAGTTATTCCTTTCTAAAGATTTATTGTTCCCTCCATTAAAAATGATTGTTCTTATTTATGAATGGTCATTCCTTCGTATGAAACGACTATTTTTTTCTATGAAGAACGATCATTCTTTCATAAATAACGATTGTTTCTTTAGTCTAATTAAAATCATTTTGACATGACAACACCAACTATATTAAGGGTTACAAGATAAGTTCGTAAAAAAATATTGTTGGCGTAACATTACAATGCTACTCATTAATAAATCGTGTCCTTGAAATCCAAATCCAAAGATTAAAATTTTTGAAGAAAATTTTGAAAAATAAAAACAAATGTATCGAACTGTGAAAGAGTGCAATACAATCAACAAAACCCCTTTGGGGAGAAGTACACCAAAAAGCTTAAAGTTACCTAAGATATTCAAAATCAGTTGCCTGCTTACCGAATCGATTTACGAAGTGGCCCAATTCAGTTTCCATGGGAAAATCTCGGCCACAATAAAGAAAAACCAATGTTCCTAGACACCCTAAGACTACATTGGCCGTCCCAGACCAGAAACAACACGACCACACAACGATCGAGCAGTATGGCACAAACACCTCAAGTTCACACAGCTTATACTAACCACATAAATAATATGTTGAGACAGCAAAATATCCTTTGGGGCAATAAAAAGGGTCGAGGCCCTAATCCAGTTGCTGTAAATTCAACTGTAAGTCTGTAACCAGCAAACCCAATGCAAAACATGATTTTTAATCCTCCAAAGCAGTTCAGATACCTATTCATGCAAATTCAGAATCAAAACCGGCGGTATCCACGGTCAGCTATTCTCCCAGACGGGCACTCATATGCCATGTGGCCCCTGCCTCCACAATTGTGGCATATGATTATGGGACCTATGCAATCCCTGCTCATGTGGCCAACCTGGTTGCAGTTCCGGCAGATCACATCACGATAGCCACCATATCTAACCCCACCACTCCTCTCACCGAGAGAATTACCCTTGGGGCATTGCCGAGCCAAATGCCCAGATATGTTGCACACATTGCAGACAGGTTCATTCTGACAATCACGTGCTATGTGGCCTGTTTTCCTGCAATTCTTGCATGCTTTGTCATTAGTACAGTCTGCTGCAATATGCCCTGGCTTGTAGCAATTGTTGCAGAGTCTCAAGTCTCCACCTGGCTGCTCAGAGTTTGGGCAATCTCTAGCACGATGTCCGGCTTTGCCACACGAGTGGCAGATGCCCTCATTATGACAGTTGCCGGCCACATGTCCAGGTTCTCGACAATTCCAACACCGTGCTTGTGTAGTGCACTCTGATGCAATGTGCCTGAAAATAAAATGTTAGATGTGTAGCTGTTTGTAGTGTTTATATTTATGATGGTAATGCAAGAAGGTTCCATTACCCAGGAAGACCACAGTTGTTACAAACAGCAACATTAGGACATTCTCTTGCAAAATGACCAGGTCGCTTGCAGTTGTTGCACAGATTGCCTTGGCTAGTGACATTTCAGAAAAAATGGTAAGCACGAAGTAAACAATCCAGAAGAGTTGCAATTTCCTTTTGCAAATTAATAATCATCTTAAAGGCACAATCTTTATGGCTAAGAAAGGATTCTCAGAGCTTAACATTCATATTGTCAAAGAATAACCAATTAAATTATGAATATCCAAAATTATACGCATGCAAGATCCAATCAGGCTAAAGAAGAAAATATGTTGACACTGCTATAACAAGCAAAAAGGTTGCCGTAGCTCAGCTCAACGTCCAAAAGCAATTAAGTCTAAGTTCACTCCACAGCTGATTACAAGATAAAACTAAATCGTGGTACTGTGTAGAATAACCCTGACCACATGCAAAGCGGTCAAGCAGCAGCATAATTATACCAAAACAAACACTTATACAGGATAAAGAAACAAATGTCAACACGATCCCATATACCATTAAGTTTTAGTGGACTGAAAAAGAAAAAGAAAAAGAAGCTCTGGATAGACACAAAAGGAAAAATTGGATTGGCAGCCACAACATAAAACATGAACACAGCCCAAGGACACATTCCAGAAAATAGTGCTCATGGATCTGTTTTCATTGATTGTTCTTTATTTTTTTTGGATCCTTTCCTCTTTAGACACCAAAATTCTTTAAAAAAAAAAAAAATCAAAAGAGCTATTAGAAAACTAAGAACCTGAAACCGCGACGTGCCTCTCTCCTTAAAGGAGCGTCACGATATGAAGAGTGTCGAGATCGGATCCTGCGATCTCGTGGACTCCTGCTTCGACTCCGACTCCGACTACGACTTCGGCTCCTGCTACTGCTCCTGCTGCGTGAACTCATGTTCAAATCTCCTACTAATCACGTCAAACACCACTGATCCACAAACACACCACCAAAAACAACACAGCTGCCACAGCTTCCCTGTCAACATTAATCACACACCCAAATATTATCTCCATTGGACCACCTCATACTCTTACCTTCAAACACAAGCACCAAATTCCAACAGTAAAATAAAACCCTTGTCCAACAACACCTTTCAAATTACAATCACCAAGTCCCATAACATACCGTGTAAATTTACAAGGACACAATTCTTCATCGTGAAGTATCTGCCATGGAGAATCATATACCACTGGCAAGCAAGATTTCTTCAGCCCGCATAAACTTTCAAATTTAGTTACAATATTAACACTTTTTAACAGACAATATTCCAACCATGTACAAATCATCCACAAAAGAGACAGACCTCCTCAATCTGTCACAAGCAATTCCTTGGTTTCACATTTGGAACCAATTTGATTTGACAACTTGAAGTGTAATACGTCTTAAAGAAACCAAAATCATTAGTGAATTACATTTATGTGCGTACCCCTCAATATGTGTTGTGCTGAAAATAGTTCATGATAATTACATTACCAAATAAAACATATTGTGTTTGATAATTTTCCCTAAAAGGCCTTTCTCTAAACCAAATACCAACAAGTGTTCAAGAATGCTTTCTTCAAAGCCAAAAAACAGTGACTTCAATGGAGAGAGCAGAAATACTACAGTCCTAATTAAAAATTACTATAAGGATAATATACCACACACATGGAGTAAGCATGAGACAGAAAGACTATAAGTACAATAAATACATTCACACCCACACAGGATGGGGTCCTTCCCAAATGGTAGAATTGAACAAAATAAGAGAGCTTAATGTTTAACTGTCGGCCTCTTCCTCAATTCACTGGTAACATCTGACCACTTTAATGTCCACAATCTCTTATTTGTAACAAAGACATGAACTGAAATGGCTTAGTGTTACATACAAAGATGAAAAAAAGTTGGGAAAAAACACGCAATAATATTCTAAGAGCATTATCTCACAGCAAAGACTGTAAGGGCCAGATTCTGCTTGCCCCGACAGAAATTTATCCTCAGTTATCGCTTAGATACGCAGGTTTACATCAAGTTGGCAAATTCGCCTATCAACAAATCACTTATTCTTGATTATTTTGACCACCTGAGGCCAAAGAATTTCAGCAAAGCTTTCTATCTAAGAAATCAAGTCGAAACTTGCATCAGTATATTATGTTATAATGCATTAACATTGAAATAACAATGACCTATAATGCATTGAACCTAACAAAGAGTCATAATAATGGCAATAATTATATTGCATAATTGTAACCAAAGAAAATAAATTCTGGATTTCTATTTAGGACCCTGGTAAGCATTTTAAACTTATGGAATCCAAGACTAATTAATGTGGTTATTGTTGATTACGCCCCAAATATTTACTCTTTTAAGCAACATTCAAAGCATTATATCTCACGAAACAAATCGAAAAGACCAAGAGAAGTAGTGAGCAAGGATCGAATGAATAATAGAGGAATCTTAAAGACCATTTAGAAAAGGAATTTCCAAGCAACTTAAATTTTGGATACATTTACTGATAATACAATCTTCTGCATAATGAACAAAATTTTGAGAATGTTTATGTTGTTTCAAGAAATTATACTTTTAAGACGTACGGAAATAAATTCTAAAGTTCAAGAATATCTAAATCTCATCCTTCAGGAAAAATGACAAAAACAATCAATAAGAAACACAGAATTAGCAGTGGATAGATGTCAGCCATTCCTTGATCAATTAGGAATGTTTTCGTTATAAATTTAAATTATTAGCTCCACACTGGTGGCATCTATTTCAAGCATGTGGCTTTCTTGAAGCAGCCAATAACTTGCCATATAATGAGCACCGCGCTCTAGAAACCACGTGGCCTTTGCAAATTAACTAACCACTGTCATATAATGATCACTGAGGCCACGTAAAAATTGTAAAATTCATGCAAATATTCATGAAAATCAGGAAGAAAAAAAATGTTTGGTTAGGGTTTTAAAAACAATGCATCACGAGACAAGTCAATAATACTACAACAAACTCACAATGATAAAAACAACTTACTCCAAATATAAGTATAATGGATGGAGGCACATTTGACACAAGAGGGGAACCGTGTCTCAATCGATAAGATAAATACTCCTAACAATAATAAATCAAGGACTTGTTTTTGCAACACGTTATTCAGGATAAATTTGTTTTTGCAACACTCACTTAATTTGTTTGTTTTAAAAAATAGCCCTTAAACCACTGGACATTCATCACCATATATATTATCAACCGAAATTCAAAAACCTTGTTCCATTTCAAAAACCCTGTTCCATTTCAAAAACCCTATCGTGCTCTTCCACACAAATGCCTCTAAGCGACCATTGTGCTCCAGTGGATAAACAAAAAGAGAAAGCAGAACTATAAAAAGATACGAATCCAGTTCAGTGTAACATAAAATTGATTGCACGTACTGTATGAACGAAACCCTGGTTCTCATGACCTTCAACTAAAACAATCGCAAAATCCCAATACCACAACCATAAAGACCTTAGGTTAACCTAAACATTCAGAGGATGATAGATCGCATAATACAAGATTGGAAATCGATAGGGATACAAAACAAAAATAAAAATAAAAAAAGCTATTGAAGCAAAAGTAAAATTAAAGAATCAAATGAATCGTAGTGCAGGGTTTAGATTCACAAACCTCTGTGCTGGAGAGGAACTTCGGTCCGATGTAATATTTTGCAGCAAAAATATCCTTTGCTTGGCAGCTAGTGTTTAGAAATTAGAAGACCTCTTTTTCTTATTTTTATTTCAAAGTCGCTTAGGCATGTGAAGTTTCGGAATTTTGTGCCACGTGACAATATGAGATTGGCTGGTAACCACTGGGGCTCGCTTAGGGTCACTGTAGACCTATGCTGACGTAATTTATCGATTTTATCCTTTTATATAATTTATTTTCTAATAGCAAAATAAATAAATAAGTAGGAGTTAAACATACAAATATGTCCTCGAGGTTTGAGGTTAAATTTCAAGTATGAGAATAAATAATAGAAGGATAGTTTAATAAATTTATAATAGTATAAGTTTTAATAATTTATTAACATTAAGAGATTTTAATTATTCCAAAAAACTGAATGAAAACTTACCATAAAAAAGGATTCCAAATTAAAAATTTCCATTAGCTTTTTACTTGTGAAAATGTTAAAAGTGTAGATAAAGGAAAGTAAGTTACGTTTAGTATGTTGTTATAAATAGTGAATAATAAAACTAATTTTAAAAACAATAATATGGGATGTATAAAGAAATCTTATTAAATTTAATATATAAAATAATATGACAGAAAATAAACAAAAAAAATGATTGTAAAAAATTAAACTCATGGTATTTACTTTTTCATTCACTTTATATCTAAAAATCTCTATAAAATATGGATAATACTATATTTACCGACCCAAATACTGATTTTTATATACCGACTCATTACCCAACAATCCAAATCTGAAAATTTAACTCAAGTCGGTATGTAAAATCTGTGGCTGAGTCGGTAACCCTAGCATCACTGATAAAATATATGTAATTTACTATTCTAAAGACATTTACTTTTTATGTTATTTGAGAAAGGTGGTAGTCTCTTAGGGACTAAAATATATGAGAGCCCAAGTTCGAATCCTAGCAAATTATATAATATATATTTTTCCAATAAAATATTTTTGCAAAATCTAGGGTTTTGTACAGAGCAGCAGAGACCGTTCATGGCTTGAGGGTTTATACCAACAGACTTATAATAAACATTAATTCTTTGGCTATTTACTTTCATAACTTAACTTCCATAACTTACAAACTTGCTTATAGTCCATCATCCAATGGGCAAGAAGAAGAAATTTATCGACAAAAAGAAAGCGGCAACCTTCCAACTACTTGCCCGTGACTCCTCTGATCCCAATTTCGACGACACACCTGGCAGCGACCGAGTCTTCGTTCGAGTCGACAATAGTCCCTACTCGTTAGGCACCCTTGACGAAAATCACGACGATTCCAATTCTATATTCGCCGACGCGCCCGACGACGACGACGGTGAACTTGAGTTTAATGGCTCCACTACAACGGCATCTTTGCCGGAGCACGTTAGGAGAGAAATTTTGGAGCTAGGGTTTCCTGATGATGGTTATAATTATTTAGCTCATTTGAGGGAGATTAAAAACACTGGCGGTGGATCCGCTTTTTATCATAACCCTAAGTTCAGGCTTGACCAGCTCCAGCGCGATGTCAAGGTTGGTTAATTTTGAGCTTATTTTAAAGCATATTATCCGGTTGAGATCATTTTTTTTTATATATTATAGAAATATTGATTTTTATTTATGTTTTAATTGTTTAGGCTTATGATGCTTCGAGAGTGCAAATTTCTCAAGTTAAAAACGAGGCAAATGATAAGTCGATTTATAGTGTTGCGTCAAATACAATTGGTGTTAGGGTTCCAAAAGCTGTTGATCCTGAAGTGGCTGCGTTGCTGGATGATAGTGATTTATCACGGTTTGGTTCTGACGTTGAGGACTTGGACGAGGATTTCATTCTCCAAGCAAATTATCCCGAAGAAGGGGCTGATTTAGAGATTGATAGGAAGTTGAATCTGGTGGATGAATCTAAAGGAGTAACGAATGATGAATCTGTTAGTTTTGTCAATCGAGAAAATGTGGCTGGAGAAAGAAATAATGCAGTGGAGGAAGAAGAAAATGATTTTGTTGCTGACAAGCCACGAGTTCGTCGTCTTCTTGATGAACAATTTGATTTGGTAAGACTCTTACTTATCGTTATTTTTAATTGTAACTTCTATTACTTTTTCTGGGTGGTACACTTATGTGAGTGTTAAATTCCTATAGATTTTTTTGGGTATCATGATGAGAAAATCTAGTGCTCATGTCGTGCATTTTTTTTTTTTAATCTATATTTGTTTATCATAGAACTTACTTACCGGTCTTTGCTGAAATCAAGCTTTTGAGTTTGGACATGGAACTTTCAATTGAAACAGCTCGTAGATTATTGTTTCAAATTTCTTGTGGGTTTTAAATACTTCATATCTCTATGCATGGGGGTATATTGACTTATTAGGGGAAGTGGGATGGTAGCAGCTGTCATAGAACTGTCTGGCAGTGCAGTTTGCCCAACTCAAAATCTCTCATTCAATCGTTAAAAATGTGGGATTAATAGTATTCTATTTGATGCTTTGTGGAACAACTTTGTTATCTGAATAGTTCTCATTCTGTACTGATTTCTAATTTCTCATTGTATCATATGCTCATTATTTGTCTTCTACATGTTTATATGTATATTTCTCTTTATAAGCTGCAAAATTTAAGTTGGTTCTCTCAGTTAGTTTGGCTTTTTTTGGTAACTTTTTTCAGATTGTGTATTATACTCTTGACTTTTTTCATGTAGTTTAGTCTCCACAGCTGACAGTGACTCTGTGCATTTGGCTGCTGATTGACTAGTCTATTTTATTTTAGAATTCCTAAGAAAACGTTAAAATGCGTCAATAAGAAAGATCTGATGACAGTGCTGCCTATTTTGAGTCTGATACCAAAGCAAATGTCTAATATACTTATAATTGGGCTAATTCACACTATTGTTTTATGGTTTTTCCTTTTGCCTGGCGCATTTTACATCAATTTCAGTTTATCTCTAACACTGATTTGTTTATTTCAGCTTGAAAGTCAAGAATATGGCACTGACAGTGACAATGATTATGATGGCTATGATGCCGAAGAAGAAGAATCTCTTGCAAACAAGNGAGGAAGAAGAAAATGATTTTGTTGCTGACAAGCCACAAGTTCGTCGTCTTCTTGATGAACAATTTGATTTGGTAAGACTCTTACTTATCGTTATTTTTAATTGTAACTTCTATTACTTTTTCTGGGTGGTACACTTATGTGAGTGTTAAATTCCTATAGATTTTTTTGGGTATCATGATGAGAAAATCTAGTGCTCATGTCGTGCATTTTTTTTTTTTTTTTAATCTATATTAGTTTATCATAGAACTTACTTACTGGTCTTTGCTGAAATCAAGCTTTTGAGTTTGGACATGGAACTTTCAATTGAAACAGCTCCTAGATTATTGTTTCAAATTTCTTGTGGGTTTTAAATACTTCATATCTCTATGCATGGGGGTATATTGACTTATTAGGGGAAGTGGGATGGTAGCAGCTGTCATAGAACTGTCTGGCAGTCCAGGTTGCCCAACTCAAAATCTCTCATTCAATCGTTAAAAATATGGGATTAATAGTATTCTATTTGATGCTTTGTGGAACAACTTTGTTATCTGAATAGTTCTCATTCTGTACTGATTTCTAATTTCTCATTGTATCATATGCTCATTATTTGTCTTCTACATGTTTATATGTATATTTCTCTTTATAAGCTGCAAAATTTAAGTTGGTTCTCTCAGTTAGTTTGGCTTTTTTTGGTAACTTTTTTCAGATTGTGTATTATACTCTTGACTTTTTTCATGTAGTTTAGTCTCCACAGCTGACAGTGACTCTGTGCATTTGGCTGCTGATTGACTAGTCTATTTTATTTTAGAATTCCTAAGAAAACGTTAAAATGCATCAATAAGAAAGATCTGATGACAGTGCTGCCTATTTTGAGTCTGATACCAAAGCAAATGTCTAATATACTTATAATTGGGCTAATTCACACTGTTGTTTTATGGTTTTTCCTTTTGCCTGGCGCATTTTACATCAATTTCAGTTTATCTCTAACACTGATTTGTTTATTTCAGCTTGAAGGTCAAGAATATGGCACTGACAGTGACAATGATTATGATGGCTATGATGCCGAAGAAGAAGAATCTCTTGCAAACAAGCTCAAAAATGTCCTTAGTGATCGTGTGACAAAGGACTTTGAACTTGATGACAAATATAAAGCTCCGGCTGATATATTGCATGTTAATGAGACAGCAAAGGGTAGAGAAGCACTGGACTCTGCAGCTGATATTATACGTCGTTGTGTGGAATATGCAGATAAGTATGAAAATGAAAATGTAGAAGACAAAGTTGTTGTGCAGGAAAGTAGTGATGAATCGGAAGAGTGGGATTGTGAGACTATCATTTCCACGTACTCAAATATTGATAACCACCCTGGAAAAATTGGAGCACCTGACATAGCAAGAAAGAAGAAGTTGGCTGAAACTGTCTTTGCAGCCTTGAATGCAAACAATCATGTCATATCTCTTAAAGGAAAAGAGAAGCTTCCTGTAGATTTTTTGCCTCATAGCAAAAAAGCGGCTACAGAAAAGGTGAAGTTCATGGGTAGTTTGAAAAGTGAACAGCTGAAGAGGAAGCAACATGGTCAGGAATCAAAAGATGAGAAGAAAGAACGGAAGGTATCTTTTTGCTACTTGTTCCAGCTTTGTCTGTATTGTGTGTGCATGCTTATGTCCACGGATGTTCTTGTTTGTTTCAAATGCTTTGCAGTATTGTTTTTAGGTTTGTGCTTCTTTTTGTCTATGTGCCCTATGTGTGATTTGATTATGACATTAATGTTCTGCATGCAGACTGCTGTGAAGGAGGAGCGACGTGAAGCTCGGCGAGCAAAAAAAGAGTTGAAGGGGCTGTACCGGGTTGAAGCACAGCGTGCTCAAAAAGTCGCTGCTATATCTGGCCCATCATCCGTTCATCTGATGTAACTTGTAAGTATTATGATCATCAAATGTTTTTCTATAGAAATAATAATTTGATTTAAAGGTGACAATTGATACGATGCTACTTTTTTTTTTTTTGAAATAGGTAAAGTTTGATGCCAGATTGTTGCTTGAGGCAGTCTGGTGTTCTAGCGGTTTTTTATTGTTGCTGCTCCAGACAAAATTGGACAGCAACTGCAGTTATCTATTGCAATATCTGAGTAAGTAACGGCACCGGAGATTATACACATTCTTGGCTGTCATCCATTTGCACAGAACAGCATGCAGGAAGTTGAAATTCGCCTGTTAAGAGTTTTAAATTTTGTTGTTTTAATTTAGGGGCGTTAATTTCTCGTCTTCATTTAGTAAATCTTTGGGCTTTTGAAAGACTTGAAATGGATGAGTAGAAGCAGAATTGTTGTAAGCCATCAATAACTCTTTTAGCACATAATTTTTTTGATTTTTGGAAACATATGCATTGTTTGTTTTTACGGTAGTACATATATTGGTCATATTGTTCATTTGTGCGCTTCCTTCCTTGCCATGAGAAATGGGATCTCTTTCCACGGACTATCATGATTTCTCTTTATGATGGAATAGCCTGGGATTTGATAATATACTCTGAAACAGAATTCCCAGAAGTTAAAAATACTAGCTACTAAAGCGGATTATACACTAGAAAGAACAGTACAATAACATTGTATAACTCGTGAACATATTGGCATTGGGGACTGCTAGGACCTGAAACGCCATTGTTGTATACAGAAAATGCATATAATATTGTGATGTTAATACCTGGCAGGTGGAATAGCAAGGCTTGGATTAAATAAAATAAGAACATGGAATCGGAGTAGAGGATGATTGACTAAGGAGTTGGAGCATGATCGGATAAAGGGACACGAGAGTGAAATAAATTTGGATGAGAATTGCAGCGTACGTGTGGAACAGGGGCAGGATTGGCTCCGCCATGTCTGGGTGTGGGATTCCAGTTACCATAATCGTCTTCCAGATTCAGTTGAACCTGGTAGTATTCCTTTTCTCCTTTCTGACCAAGAGATGCTGGTGACCCTGGTGGTGATAATGCCGACGATGATGAAGATTCTTTTGCTATCACGGGGATTAATATCAATATAAACATCATTATCATGCTCATAATGTGCACAACTGACCTAGCAATTGCTGTTGACATGCTTAAACTGTGCATTATTTTTTATCCTGCTTATGCCACATTTGATATTCTTAAAAACTCCATAATTAAACTTAATTATATCTGAGTTGCGTGTTAACAATGTCTTTGTTATAGTTAGAAGAAGTGCTTGAATTAAACTGTCATTATCTTCACACCAAATAGATGATGGATCATCGAGTGTTTGCTGTGTATCAACTAAAACAAACTTTGATAGAGGTATCGTAACAAAATAGAGGTTGATTCCTTTGTGCGTTTATGTTTTCACTGTTAAACATGAAAAATTTCGATGAATGGTCCAAGGGAAGCATTATAGAGCAATGTGAAAAACCATGTTTGTACATTGTAAAGGTGCTTATGTTAGAATTATATAATCATACCTGATCTTATATTTCAAAGTCAAATGTAGAAAAGGGAAAGAGTGTTCATTGCTAAATGTTGAAAAGAAAAATTATGCTTAGTGTATCATAGCTATATGTAGAAAAGGAGAAAAGGTGCATTATAGCTACTGGTTAAAAATAAAATTAAAAAAAAAAAAAAAAGATAAACAAATTATTCCGTTGCCAGGAAACAGGAATCGACTCTTGAGTGAGAGCCGATTATTCTAACCGACTAGACTACAAATTTATTAAACATTGCAGAGATATAATTTGATTCTTACAGAGAGAAATGAGTTGGCTCTTCGCTTTCTTTTATATTTGGTGAGGATACTGCTTGAGAGGGAAGCACATCTACATATTAAGTTGATTTGGTGGAATGTTCTAAGGACGGCCACAACCATTCATAAAAAAGAATTGTGGCACAACCCCACGAAAGAGAATAAGATAAAAACCATATATATACAAGCAGCTATCAATCCCTAGCTGCTGAATATGTCTATTATCATATCCTCAACTCTTAATTACAAACTAAATGCTCTTGTTATATAATAAAGCAAAATGGCAATGTGTTCTTGTACAAGGGGGTTTATTAAGGTTTTATTATCCCCTCCACCATAAACTTCTGATATTCCATATTGAACCCCAACGCATTTCTTTCTTGTTTATTAACGGTGGCCACTATAATGATGATACTACTCTTGCAATTATATCGTCATGTTAGTGATAATTATAGTGATGTTCCTGATGCATGTGCTTCAACTGATTTTCACTAATTAATATTAGTTTGGAACGACTTTGCCACTCTAACAACCTTCATTCAAACTTTAAGCAATCAATTCAATCTCCCTAAATTATCGGGTGAGACTGAGATAGAGTTTGATGTTGACAAGGTCATAATTTTCAAATAAGACAACCCCGAGAGGGACGCAGCTTTTCGAGCCTTTTTTGGGTGAGACCCGAATCCGAATATATCCTAATGCCGGTTGGAGTTGGAGCTGGACTTATATCCTTGTCTGATATAACTTTTCGATTCAAACATAGAGAACCAGATTCTTGTTCCACTAAAAAAAAATTATATCATTAAACAGTAAAAGAGACAAAGAAATAAAGATAAAATAGCAGCTATCACTAACAGATTATTGGTGTCCTCTTGGTTTGACTGGTAAAACAGTATTTGTCAATGATTTCCCCAACAATGCTCCAATAATCTATTGACATATTATTAAGCACTAGACAGAAATGCCTTTCAGCCTTGAGAATCCGGCTGCCAAGTTCTATCAGCCAAAGGATCAGCATTTTAGCATCTTACTGATCTACTCTACCAAGTACCAAGGACCCAAAAAATCCTGCACGTGTGTATTCCACTAATAAATCATAACAAACACGTGTATTATGATGTATAATCAACATCTTAGTTTTGCCTCCTCTTCCCAATCGTATAGCATATATATCATAACTGCTAAAGTCATTCGTGGACTTCCTATTTATTGCAGGCTATTCCAGCTTATGTTTACTTGGTTTTCTTTAGCATCCTCATTCCCACTCCCAAACCTACAGTGTCCTAATGGCATTGCTACAAATAATCCTTGAAATTTTCCATGTAACCAAACTTGTCACCATTTTGAATCAGTAGGAAAGATGGGCAAATCAATGCTCATAATCGAAAGCAGTGAAAGTTCAAGTTGAAAAATAATCACATATAGCTTCAGATAATATACTTGCCCATGTAAAAGAAAATAGTAACAATGATGATGATGAGGGGCAGTAGCAGATTAGCAATACCTTCTATTATGTTAAGAAGAAAATGCAAGAACACAAACTTTGTAACATCATTGAAACTAAGCTCCTTGTATCTCGAAGAAACAAAAAGAAAGAAGATAATATTTACATGTACCAGTTTAATAAAATATAAATGTCACACAATAAATCAATTGAAAAGGGACTAATACCTCATGCAAATAAAACAACAGATTGGGAAATTTTGTAGGGGATCACAAAAGTGATTTACGTAATAAACACCATCTCAAGTAATTAAAAATACAAACAAAAGAATTACTACCACTACTGTCCATGAACAAGAATATCAGAGCCATTGGTTAACAGAATTTATTATACAAGGGTATGCATACACTTAACACATTCATGAGCTCTATATGTCACACCAAGCAACTAAAATAGCATACAGAATAATACACGATTGACAAAAAAAATAAAAGACTTGCAGTCAACTTGCTATGGATCTTTATGGGATTGCAACGTAAAGCACATACACTTATCTTTCATTGCCTCAGACTCACTTCCGTACTCTTTGAATTTGTACTCGTCCTGCTTAAAAGTGGGTGGCACCTTCCCCTCACTGTAGCAATGATTACATAAACTAAAATGAGATTTCATCTCCTTGAACCGAGAACCAATAATTGGGTAGCGGCAAACTGAGCAAGCATGACGTCCATGGCGACTCCTATCCCCAGTTTCAAGCTTCAACAAAGCAGTCATGATGCCAAATCCCCAATCAGGATCGTCAAACATGACAAGAAACTCAGTGAAAGACACTGTTGAAGAATCTGCTTCTCCATGGACTTCCATCATTTCACTGACACCTTGAGAAGGTACATAAATAGCCCTCAGTAATTTAATGTATCTAACAGCATCGATTTTTTTAATCTGAGCACTCCCTTCATTCACAGGACGCCACCGAAGTGCATCAAAGGCTACTCGTTTTCGCTTTTCTGGAGAACCGCTGCAAATGGGAGAAAGAATAGCATAAAACATGCCTAAGTCCACCCTACCTGAGCCTACTACATCCAAGATAGAGAGGATCCTCTCATTTATTGCTTTCACAGCTCCTTGGAAAGTTTCAGGTTTTAGGAAACTAAGAAACCTGCGAAGAATTTCCTCCAAGTTAGGTTTACGTATGGATTTCTGAGGACCACCACCTCCAGAATAAGACACTGGTACATCGTTTTCACTCATTTCTTTCTTCAGAAGTTCCACATCACAACGGCTCAACCTAGTAATTTTCTGAAAAGCCCTAATTTGAAGAGCACTAGCTAAGTCCTGCCTTACTGTAGTCCTCTCGCCAATTGTCTTAAATTTTGAGGGTTCTACGATAACAAAAGCCCCTTCCCCATTCGTGCCTCCATTACCCTTCGTTTTCTTTTTCTGTAACTGCTTTAAATGCGATATGGCATCATGCAATTCAACCCTATTTGTCATTTTCAAAGCTTCCTTCAAAGCTTTCTTTGATTCCTCAGTTTCTCCAGCCCCCAACAAGGACACAGCCTTATTGAGTTGTGCACGCCAATGGTTTGGCCACACGGCTAAAACCCTAGTATACATCTCAGAAGCTCTCTGAAACCTACCCAAGTCCATATAGAGCCCACCCAAATTATACAAAGCATCTACATGACCAGGTTTCAAATCTATGGCCTTTTGAAACACCTCAATTGCCCTCTCATCCTCGCCCATTGCATGCAAAGCTGAAGCCAAATCACAATGTGCATCAGCATAGTCAGGTTTCATAAAAATAGCCTCTTCTAATGCCTTAACAGCAGCCTTGTACTCTCCCACCCCAAAAAGTGCACTACCCAAAAGCTTCAAGGCTCTAAAATGGGTTGGACAAAGAATTGCAGCTTCTCTATAATATTCACAAGCACTTAAAACCATACCTTCCCCTTCAAGCGCAATCCCAAGGTTGACATAAATCTGAGGGAGCAAGTACGCCCATTGATTCCCACCGGACTCAGCAGCCTCTAGTGCCAACAAAAACTCCTCCTTAGCCTCTCTATACCTGCCAAGAACATACAAGCAATTCCCAGCTCTGAAATGTGGCCTAACATCCGTTGGTTGCAACTCACAAGCCCTTTTAAAACTCACTAATGCCTCTTTAAACAACTGGTGCTCATACAAAACCCTACCAATGGCCATATGCCCATCAAAAGCTTCCTCTCTCGACCTAGCCCCATCTGCTCTATTTCTCAACACCCCCAATTCCTTAACAAAAACTGCGTAGTCATGTCCCGACTCTTCCCAAAATACCCTTTTCTCTGATAATTCAGCTGAAGGTCCCAATTCTCTTGACCAACCTGCGTCTGAATACGCATCAAAATTTTCCCCTTTATATTTCCCATCTTTCGCTTGCTTAGCTTTCAATCTTTTCACCAAAATCTCCAAATCATCCACAATCTTCCACGTGTCATCAAACACTATACCGTGATTCGGCGAAACCGCCCAAGCTGCCGTTCTCTGTATCTTTTGTGACTCAATTGCCCTTTCATCGACAATTGACGAAGAAGAAGCTTCAGATGCCATTGAAACACCTTTGCTTTCGTCTAAATTCAGCTCCAGTCCCAACGCATCAAAGTCTCTGTCCACGTCACCAGCACCGTCATCGTAGGTGCGTAACAGACCATCAAAGGTTAAGCCTTTTTCACCGTCAATGAACTCGCCATAGGTACGGAACACTTCATCGAGGATGGCGTTGATTTGTTCGTCGCTGAATTTGACTCTAGGGTTTACGGCCACCACTAGAGCAGCCATTTCTTCTCTGTTAAGGCCACCGTCGCGGTTTGCATCGAATTGTTGAAAAATTCTCTTTACCTTCTCTGATCTGCTCCCTCTCGTAGCCATTTCGAATTTAAAAAAAAATATATATATATATGTGTTAGGATTTGAAGAAGAGGAGGAGTAGATAAGAAATTGAGTGAGGAGGATAGGAATGGATGAGAAATTAAGAAAAGATAAATTTATAAAAAACTAAAAGTGTTTAATTCATTTGAAGTTCGTTTAAACTAATTGTTGATAATGATGATGGTGGTTTGAATTGGGTGTTGTGGGGGCTATTTTTCTTGGTTTCATTGGATCTAAAGAGCAGAAGAGAGAGCAAAAGGTAAAGCAGTCGGAGAGAAACGGGAACAGAACAGAGAAACTCTGTTTCCTTTTATTTTTATTATTGTATGAGTGGTGTAGGGTTGTGTAGCCCCCACAATAAAGCAGTTTACTCTCTCGGATTGTCTTTTTTATAACTAAATAAAATAAATTCGTTGATGGCGTGGCTGGTTTTGCCAGCTGGCGTCTCATCATCATCTCATAACTTAAATTTGTAATTCAGGATTAAGAAAAGAATTAGTCTTTCCGTTTGAATAAAAAGTAATCCAATCCTTTTAAACTCATATGCATGGGATACGGATTTGGTTCAAAATATGTAAAGCGGGCCGCACATAAATTGGCCTATTTTGATCCATTATGAAGACCCAATGTAAAGAATTCGGCTTGATTGAATAACATCATAATTCAACTACTTAAATGGTACTTAAATTTTGAATGCAACTGATTAAATTGTACTTAAACTTTGTTCTTTTTCGATATTCCAATCTTAATTAATTTATTACTTTTAAGGTTTATATATGGTACATATTCTTTTGATTATTTGATACAAAGTCCCTCTTATATATCTATCTCCGCATATCCAATAGGTTTGCCTGGAGCATGTTGAAGCATATAAGGAAGCACTTGCAGGGTTCACAGGAATTGTTAATTGCCCTGCTACCTCCTCGACCAGCCATGTAATTTTTGAAGCCATTAGCTCAACCTTACGCTCCAACACTCATTTACCTGCATTATAACCTTCTACAGTGAAAATGTAATGGCGTATAGAAAAGTGGGCAAGTCGCATACTTCCTCTGAACACTCCTAAACGGTATGAAGGAATATCAGAGTTTCTAAAGGGAAGATTAATGACCTAAATCGATCAGTATTTTTCAATGGATCACAAACCACAATGATTTGACTTTATGCATCCACCCAATAAAGGATTCCATTATATTATATGCAAAACTAGACTGCCAACCACATGTACTTATCGCACGGGGAGAGGACAACTCTAATTGGATCCATTTATCACTCTCACAAAAGAAAATCTCCACATTTAACTTATTATGCAAGCTCTTAAATGTAGGAATAAGCACCACCTTGTAGCTGTACTTTAGTATTGGTAATACATACTTGTTTGGTTGGATAGCAGACAAACCTAACACGAGGATTGTTGTTCATTCCTGAAGCAAAAGGGAGCCTCAAATTTTATTGTTAATCATCCCTATCTTCAATTATAAATTGAAGTAGAAACGTACATGAGGTCAGTTCTCATGAAAATTGATCATATTTTCTCAAACACATATATACTATATATTAAAACGTCAACGATTTAGTATCAGGGCTATCTAATTAAATAAAAATATATATATTTCAAACACGTACATACTATATTTCAAGACCGCAAAATATATACAAAACTCAGGGCTCAGGCATCTTCATTGGAAGGGAAATAAATTGAAACTATACAACTTTTACCGATTTATTGAAATTGAAAGGGGAAAGGAAAAATCATCAATTTATGCCACTAATAAACACTTGTAATAAAGCTGAATTCTTAATATTGGGTCTTTCAATTTGATAATGGAATTTGATGGGCCTATTGGGTCTTCATGATGGATCAAGATAGGCTTATCTATGTGCGGCCGATTTACATAGTTTGAACTCTGAACCAAATCCATATCCCAGTTTAAAAGGAGTGGATATCAATTGGATTAGTTATTACCCTAGTTAGTAAATACGGGTACGATAAAAAAAGGGTATAAGAATAATACAACAAATAGTAAAAAATATATTTATAAAAATTCGACCATAAAATTCGGATACGGGAAAAATACGATACGGGTATATACGGGTTTAATACGGTGCATTATCAATAATACATTTTGAAAAATACGGTAATATAAATCTTAGTTTTAACACTTTTATGGACTACTTGGTTAAAATCAATATAACATTTCAAATGCAAAGTATTCAATTAACCAATAACACAAATACACAATATATAGCTGATATTCAAATTATAATCTCCAGACTCAAACACAATATTTAGCCAAGATTCAACTATAGTGTCAAACCAAACACATAAGTCATAACAAAACCAAAATTCAAAGTCGAATTAGAGCTCTAAACAAATAAAATACATAAATAATACAACAAGATTCAAATTATAGTTTATAAAAAAAACTCACAAAGTACATAAACAACAATAAGTCAATAACAACTCAAAAAAGAGCATCATCCAACCAAGCAATGTCATCATTATCCATTAAGTCATCCATGTAACCCTCAACTGTCAGTGTAGAATTATCATCTTCATCCATATGAATTTCTTCATATTCAAAGTCTGGAAGCTCCCCCAATTTCTCAAGATCTATAGGTTCCAAGTCACGATTCATCGTGGAGGTGAATTTATCCATCATCATCGTGTTCATCCTCACATATACAAGTGTGTCTAGCATTTCATGTGACAACCTATTCCTTTTTTTTTTTTTTTTTTTTTTTTTTGTTTGAGCAGCTTCAAAGGCACTCCAATTTCTCTCACATGATGAAGCGCTACAAGGTTGACTCAGAATTCGAATGGCACACTTCTTGAGCACAGGAAGATCATCCCCATTGTAATCCCACCATATTCCTGCAAATGACATAAAAAACTTTCTTGAATATAAAGAGATAAGCAATGTACAAAAAAGATATTAAAATTTTTTAAAACACTTACGAGCATGACTTGTTTGTAACATCGTTTTTGCCGTTGCAATAAATAAGATAGCTGGCCTACTACGATACAACTGAACCTCTCTCATAAATGGATGCTTTTCTTCTATTAGAAGTAGGTTTTTATGAATGAAATTGATGCCATCTTTCATCTCCCTATCCTCTCTAAAATTTTGTGAGCAAAAGTAAGCTGGATTGAGAAAGGCAGTTGCAGCATGTATAGGATGAATGATGTTGTTGACCCGATGATTCTCAAACAATTCCCAAATTCTCCCATACTTGCTTGCCTCACTATTACATCTTTCTTTGATTGCAACTTTTGCCCTCGTCATTGCTTCATATAAGTAACCAGCAGTAGATCCATCACTATCAACCAAACGAAGAACTTGAACCAATGGCTCAATAGTTTTTATAACCTCCCTTCCTCTAGCCCAAAAATCACTCTGAACAATTTCAGTGACCCTTTTAGCTGATTCGGTCTTACAATAATCAAAACCCCTCCATTTAGATGAAGCAACAAAGAGTCGAAGTTCATTCTCCACATCCAACACAGATTGAAGCATTAAAAAATTTGAAGCAAATCTTGTGGCACAAGGTTGTCTCAATTGTCTATCTTTGGTGAACTCTTTCATTGCTGCATGAAGAACTGTGTACTGTGTCATGAACATAACTATTATTCTTGCTTCATCTGTGGCAACTTTTACCCAATTAACTTCTTCATATATGTCTTTCAAAAGAAGCTGAATTTCATGAGAAGCACACCTCATCTTATACATTTGAGGATACAATCCAATGAGCATGTCACCAGCAGATGTGAAATTGCTACCATTATTAGTTATGAATTGTATAACATGTTCTTGTCCAATTGATTCAATCACAGAAACAATAATTTCTTTCAGATAAATCCCAGTTTTTCTTTCTCGAGAAACATCCAATGATTTTATAAACATTGTACTGCCAAGTGAATATGCCACAAGATTAATGAAAGATCGGTGCCTTATATCAGTCTATATATTAGACATTATAGTGCAACCAGATCCAGATGTATCCCAAGAACGCTTCACCATAGCAACATACTCATCAACACATTTTCTAGATTCTAGAATTAACTTAGTTCGAAGAGTTGAATAAGATGGAAGCTTGTATGTTGCACCATATTCAGCCACTGCCTTAACAAATTCTCCAAAAGCACCAGTTTGAACAACATTAAAAGTGATATTGTTCACCACAAAACACTTAGCAAGCATTCTATCAACAAACTCCTTGTCTTTTTTCTTATTTATTTCTAGTAAAGATGTTTGACTTTGACGTCTTTGGCTACCCTTAGAAAGTGGTGAAAATGGTGAATCTGTTTCCTCCTCATGATCATTAGAGTTTAAAGCAATAGAAGAACCGGCTGAACTTTTTAATTTTTGGTTACTTCCACTTGCAGACATAGCTAAGAATGCACATGCTTGTGTCTCATAATTGACTTTACTACAAATCTCAACATCATGGCCAGTAATTCCCGACAAGTGTGCTTTAATTCTGTAAGCCCCACTACTAAACACTTTTTGACAAAATTTACATTTCCATTTATTCCTTTGAAGCTCTTCAACATGCTCCCAAATTTTATCTTTTTTTCGTATCATATTGGTTTGAGTCTGTATTTACAAGAACATGAAAGAGAACATCATCAAATACAAAAGGAAAAAAGATTGATAAAAATTAATACTAAGTAGTAGCTTCTTTTCACATTTAATTTCTTCTTTTTAATCATCACTTTTTCTTACATTTATTTAAAAGCAAAACTAGGCAATCAAATACAAATACAATCAATACAAATATGTTATTTCAAACAATGGAAATGAGAATGACTATATTCTTTTCTTCATTCTTTCCACATTTTGTTTTCTTACATTAAGATATTCGATGATTAGTCTAGACTTTAGAGTTTGAGCCGTGACTCTTAGTTTAACTACCAACTCAAGTCTTCCCAATAGGAGCACTAGCGTGAATCAAATTGTTTTTTAGTGCCTATTCATAGGCTTTTGCAACTCAATAGTGATAAAAGGATTCAATGTATACCAAGTCTTCCAATATGTGGCATTGGTAGTTGCTCAATATAGTTATCTCATATTAGTTAAATTCTCTTATGATATGACTATTTATTCTATACAAAGGCCCTTTACCTATAAGCTTATTTTCTTCTACAGAAGTCTAATTAATTATCAGAGCCAAATTCTAAATATTTGAAACACCAATTGCTAAATTATATCACTGTTCATGAGAGTTAATGATTCCAAATTCATTTTATTTTAGGTATGAGTGTATGACACTAACACTTTAGCAGTGCGGCTAGTCCTAATGCGTTAACTTAAATTTTTGGGTAGAAAATTTTGTTCAAACCCAACTGCTTACGAGTAGTAAACAACCAAATATACAGAAACTTAACAATCTTAAGAGCATTACCAACAAACGTAAAGACCACAGTAACAAAAACTCCTCTAAAACTAAAACCCATATAGTTGAAAGTCTTCAGGTCAGTACAACTCGAGGGGAATCACTTCAAGGTTTTAGGTTTTACTAAAAGACATGTAAAACTGGCTGGATATGTGTGACATGTGCATATTTTTGTTGCTTACAAAAAGGATACAGATTCTAAGCATTAAACTAAAGAGGTTTTAGCAGAAAAAACTACGCAAAACCCACAGTGATCATTTGCATAATCCGCAGTTACTAAGAGTAATTAAATACATTTTGGTCCTTAAGGTTTGGCCTTAGTTATGAAAGTCCAGTAAAATCACAATCAAATACAAATATAACTCTCACAAGCATTTCATCAAACATGTTTCAAACAAATCCATCAATCCACCAACATAACAAATCCATCAACCCACCAGCCCCTACTACTACTACTACTTACACACCAACACAAACACAAGCAATCAACCAACGAGATTCAAAGAGAAGAGAAGATGTGTCAAGTGTGTACCTTGAAGGCCCGAACTTGAAGTTGAAGCTTGGTAGAGGGAGTTAAAAAGAGAAGAGAATAGAGATGAAGACCCAAGAGATGAAGAAAAGCTGAAAACGTCGAAGAACTGAGGAAGAAAAACTGAAAATGTTGTCCATCAAAGAATTGAGGAAGAAGAAGAACCGAAGAGGAGAAGAGATTTTGTTTAATTTTGAGTCAAACCCCACTAAAACGACGTCGTTTTGGGGTGAGCAATTGGTTTTTTTTTTTGTTGCAATAATTAAATACCCATATAAAACGCATATGTATTTATAAATTACATAAATTCGCGTATAAAACGCATATGTACTAACTAGGCTTATTACTACATCTATTCCTATCCTCATTCAATTTCTTGTCTACTCCCCCTCCCCTTCTTCAAACCTTAATACTAGTTTTTTTTTTTTAAAAAAAAAAAAATTCAAAATGAGTACAAAAGGGAGCAGATCAGAGATGGTAAAAAGAATTTTTCAACAACTTGATTCAAATTGCAATGGTGGCCTTAACAGAGAAGAAATGGATGCTCTACTGGTGGCCGTAAACCCTAGAATCAAATTCAGGGATGAAAAAATCAACACCATCCTCGACGAAGTGCTCATACTTATTATGTTGAGGGCACTGGTGACGTAAATCGAGACTTTGACGTGTTGGGGGTTGGAGTTGAATTTAGACGAAAGCAAAGGTGTTTCAAAGGCATTTAGCTGCAGCCTATAGGCTGTCGCACTATAGGCTGCAACCATAAACTAAAGAGCTTGAACTATGTCTGGTGCGATCGGGTGCTAAAAGCTAGGATTGTGATCTAAGAGCTTGGAGCAATCCGAAACTGAGCGCGATCTGATGACTAACATGAAATGTCTAGTAGATGAATTCTTGGAGGGAGCTAACGTCAGAAGCCCAAACGCATGGCTTAAAGGCCTTAAACGGATAAGCCAACTTAAAGCAACCATAACTTTTAATCTGGGAGGAGTTTTAGAGCCCGTAAGATATCCATGGAAAGCTTGTTCTGAGCTCTACGTTGTGGCAACTGGGGTACTCAGTTGGGGCAATTTTCAAGGCTAAATATACCGTTTTGACATGTTTCGAGGCTTTTTTTGAGTTTTCTATGCTTTTTTTCTGACGTTGGCAGATGGTCACGATTTGATAATTGAGAATTGATCTCAATCTGAGAGCTGAGATCATGACTTGAGGCTGTTCGCAATCTCAGAGTGAAGAGTTGATCGCGATTTGAGAGCTAGGAGCTGATCACGATCTGATAGGAGCTCAGCCTGAGAGTTTGAGGTGTACGATTTGAACGATTTGGTGCACACGATCTTAAGCAAACGAGCGAGCTTATGAGCTTAATTAGAAAGCATAAGGAACTAGATCAGAGAGCATAAGGAGCTCGATCTGAGATCATTTGGGTGGGGGGGAGGGGTTCTGTTATGCCTAAAAAGTCGTGCTGATGTCAGCTCAATAAATGCCTAAAAGACAAAGTGTACTAGCTGTCAAGCTCATATCGCCTCAGAGATATTTTATACTAACCTTATCTCATTTATGATAAGGACGAATGAGAGCTCTCCATGTGCCAAGGCAACTTGCAAAAGCTCTCATTACATTGACCTCAAATGTGTATAAATTGACACCCCTCTTCCCAAAAAGGAGAGGCTAGGCATATGAGAGCTAGACATAGATTTGAGCTTTATTATTTTTCTCTGTAAACAAAGTTTTTCTCCATTTTTGTATGCCTTACAGGCAATATCATAGAAATAATCCGAGAATAGCAAAATAATAGTGAATGTAGGATTTGCTTTAAGCATTCGAACCACTATAAAAACCTCTATTATCTATCTATTATTTATGTTTCTGCAAACATATATAATCTCAGCACCATATTCAAATCTCATGAATCCATCACGTGTAATTTCTAAGACTCTCTTAGCATTTTGCACATGCAAGTCGTTGGTGTCAAAATCAAGCATCAACAAGTTCAAAGACTAGGTGGGTTTATCTAGTCTATGCCATGTTTGCTATCATCCAGTAAAACTAATTTCTCTTTCCCATGTTTCTACTTTTAAATTATTCTAATTCATATATGTTATCCAGGATATACATTGCAATGACAATGAGAAAAATGGCATCGCACACATCCATTGGTATCCTGTGGATCTTACAACACTCGAGTGATCAAGAGTGAGACAATAGTTTCGGACGGCTTTACATAAGACAAACCACAAGGTCTTTATTCTGTAAATATCTAATTGTAGTCCTCTTTTTATTCGGATCCTTTTTAGGGACAATTGTAGTCATCATTTCATCAACGTCCTTCACAACAACAATTGTAGTCATCGTCTGCAAAACCTAGTTGTAAGACTGTGTTTGGGGCATTATTTCTACCCCATCCTATCCCTGTTCTACCCAAAATACATATTTGTTTCCCTATTTTGAAAATTCAATTCTATTTTATTCAACTATCTTTAAACCTCTTAGGTTTGTTAATTTAACTAAACACACCCAACAATAAAAGTTTATAAATTGACAAAAACACCCTCACCTACCCACATATTCTCGGCAGCTGACCACCCGTTGCCAGCATTTAATGGGTGGGTGGGAGCGTTTTTGTTAATTTTAGAACTTTTATTGTAGGGGGTGTTTAACTAAATTAACAAATATAAAGGATTAAAAAATAATCTTACCAAACACATTTTCAAATTCAAACCTTATCTCGTAATAATAACCCAACTCAACTTTTTTTTTTTTTTTTTAAATACTACTCAAAATAATAAGACAATTGTGGTGGATAAGAAAAAGAGATGTTGAGGTTTCTATTTATCTCCTCGTATATATATTTTTTCTCTTTTTTGTCCAAAGTTTGTGTCATTATGCTAGGTTAGTTTATATTCGGTTCAATCATTCATGATGAATTTAGATTTTTGAGTTGTGGGTGCTCTTAGTTTATGTTTTAATGTAATTAATTGTAGA